GGGTTTCACCGTGTTAGCCAGGATGGTCTCGATCTCCTGACCTTGTGATCTGCCCGCCTTGGCCTCCCAAAGTGCTGGGATTACAGGCATGAGCCAGCGCGCCCGGCCAATAATTATTACATGAAAAATAAAATGGAAATGCATCTCTTAATGAGGTAGATGGAGCTTTTTTAAAAAAGTTGATTTGTGTATCCGTTGATGAAAATTACATGTTTTAGACTGCAACAGGAATTAGGGTCAATTGTCTTTCTGCTTTCATTTTGTTGATGTAAGCACTGAGCAACCTTGCTCAGCTACATAATCAAACATTGATGGAAATGAAAGTGTTTTATTATAGCAGTGTCACTCACATTTTTTAACTTTTTCTGCAATGTGTGTCAAAAAGTACATAGTGATCTATCATGAAAAATTATTTTTAATCATATATTAGCTGACAATTTGATTAGATCTTCCTTCAACTTTATTGAAAGCAAAGAACTGGAAACCACTCAGCTTGAAAACAAATTTTTTCTTATGCATTCATTAATGTCACTCACCCTCCACCATTGATAGCAATACTTCAAATTGTCCTTCCATTTAATCCCCTGGAGGTTTTTGGGTTTTGTTGTTGTTGTTGTTTAATTCCCAAGCAATGAAATCTTACAGTGCAATGAAATATTCAGGACAAGTGAGAGGTATAGTTTTACTTTTGTAATAAAGAGAAGAAGGACTATTGTGAAAAAAGAATCTACATGAAGCCTCAAATGCTGGCTTCTTCCCAGGCAGAGCAGCTCTGGCAAAGATTAAAAATGAAGTTGAGCATCTGGGAGCTGATCCTCCTGAAGCTATCTATACCCATGTACCCCTTGGAAAGTCTTCACATACAGATTCCGTAGCCTGAACAGTAATGGTGGGAATGCCACCCTTTGATGGAGTCTGGATAGGAAAAGGGGAGAAGGCCAGGCGCGGTGGCTCATGCCTGTAATCCCAGCACTTTGGGAGGCCAAGGTGGGCAGATCATGAGGTCAGGAGATCGAGACCATGCTGGCTAACACAGTGAAACCCCGTCTCTACTAAAAATACAAAAAAAAAAAATTAGTTGGGCGTGGTGGCAGGCGCCTATAGTCCCAGCTACTGGGGAGGCTGAGGCAGGAGAATGGCATGAACCCGGGAGGCGGAGCTTGCAGTGAGCCGAGATCGCGCCACTCACTCCAGCCCGGGTGGCAGAGCGAGACTCCATCCCAAAAAAAAAAAAAAAAGGAAAAGGGGAGAAAGAGAATAACAGCTAGCAGAGAAAGCTAGGTGGAAAGTTTATTTTTAGTCTGGGACAATGAATTAGTCATCTATTGTGACATAACAAATTATTTCAAAACTTGGCAGCTTAAAACAACAAATATTTATTCTCTTGAATGGTTTCTGATGGTCAAGAACCTGACAACAGTTCGTCTGGGTGATTGTGGCTCAGGGTCTCTCATGAGGCCTGGTGACCACTTTCCCTTGGTCCTTCAGTATGTCTTATGCCCACAGCAATGCTACCAACTTCTTCGGCTCACCTGCCAGCCAACCTTGGTTCACCTGTGTTTCCATATGTTTTTCTTGCTTGTACAGCCACTGGGGACCAGCTCTGGCCAGGACAATTCTGTTTGCCATGATGTGGGTTGAAATCACAACTTCTCCTGGGCCTGGTGGCTCACGCCTGTAATCCTAGCACTTTGGGAGGCCGAGGCAGGTGGATCATGAAGTCAGGAGTTTGAGACCAGCCTGGCCAACATGGTGAAACCTTGTCTCTACTAAAAAATACAAAAATTAGCTGGGCATGGTTGTGGGAGCCTGTAATCCCAGCTACGCGGGAGGCTGAGGCAGGAAAATCGCTTGAAACCGGAAGGCGGAGGTTGCAGTGAGCAGAGATCGCACCACTGCACTCCCACCTGGGCAACAAGAGCAAAACTCTGTCTCAGGAAAAAAAAAAAAAAGAAAAAGAAAAAGAAAAAGAAATCAAAACTTCTTCTATGACATTTGAACTCCCTGTGAAGTTTATCCTGTGAGGAAGAGTTTTTCTCTCAGTCTTAGAGTATCCTTTAGTGTCCTCTTCATAATTACTCTCCTATCATAACTCTCCTATCATCTAACACTTTTTTTTTTTTTGAGATGGAGTTACCATTACCCAGGCTGAAGTGAAGGAGTGCAATCTCAGCTAACTGCAATCTCCATCTTTTGGGCTCAAGAGACCCTCCTGCCTCAGCCTCCTGAGTAGCTGGGATTACAGGCATGTGCCACCATGCCTGGCTAATTTTTTTGTGTTTTTCGTAGAGACGGAGTTTCACCATATTGCCCAGGCTGGTCTCAAACTCCTGAGCTCAAACGATCTGCCCACCTCAGCCTCCTAAAGTGCTGGGATTACAGGCATGAGCCACTGTGCCTGGCCTAATACTCCTTTAGAATGAACTGTCTTCCTCTAATATAGCCGTAAATGCCTATATTTAGTTCTGATAGACTTGTAGATGATAATCTTCTTCTAACCTCTGATTTATTATCCTACTAGGAAGTTGAGAATTGGAATGTTCATTATCAGGTTCTGGGGAGGATTTTCTTTGGGGGCGTGTTATATTATTTCATAGGAAATGCCATTTTGTTATACGGAAAAAAAAATCATAGCTTGAGCTCCTCCAAAAAAGTGTTGTAATTTAGAAATTCTTAGGAAGCTTGTCATAATGAATCAATAAAAAATTAATAACAATATAGTCAACTCTATGTTGTCTACAAGATACACACGTTAGATTCAAAAATACAAATAGATTGAAACTAAAAGGATAGAAAAAGATAAATCATGTAAACAGCAACCACAGGAAAGCTAGAGGGACTGTACTGACATCAGAAAAAAATGGATTTAAAACAAAAAAGTGTTACTAGAGATAAAGAGGGATATGCTATCATTAGAAAAGAGCCAATCCATCAGAAAGATATGACAATTATATATGTATATGCACCTAACTACAGAGTACCAAAATATGTCAAACAAAAACTGACATAAATGAAGGTAGAAATGGAAACTCTAACAATAATAGTTGAAGACTTCAATACTCTGCTTTCAATAATGGATAGAATGACTAAGCAGAAGATCAACAAGGAAGTAGAAGACTTAAATGATACTGTAAACCAAATGGACCTAACAGACATCTATATAACACTCTACTCAACAATAGCAGAAGCAGAATACACATTCTTCCCAAATGCCTATGGAACGTTCTCTAAGATAGACCATATACTAGCCCATAAAACAAACCTCAATACATTTAAAAGGATAGAAATAATACAAAATATGTTTTCTTGTCGCAATGGAATGCAAATAGAAATCAACACAAAGAAAGTTGGAAAACTCACAAATATGTGGAAATTAAACAACACACTCCTCAATAACCAATGGGTCAAAGAAGAAATCAAAATGGAAGTTAGAAAATACTTTGAGATGAATAGACATGAAGATAACATGAAAACTTGTGGGGTACAGCAAAAGCAGTGATTAGAGGAAAATTTATAGCCATAAATGCCTATATTTAACAAGAAGAAAGATCTCAAATCAATACATTTAAAAGCTGGAAAAAGAAGAGCAAACTAACAAAACAAGCAGAGGAAGGAAATAATAAGTATTAGAGTAGAAATTAATGAAATAAATAATAGAAAAACAATAGGGAAAATTAAAGAAACCAAAGCAGATTATTTGAAGTAATCAGCAAAATTGGCAAACCTCTAGTCAGAGGTTTGACCAAGAGAAAATGAGAGAACACTCAAATTACTAGAATCAGAAATGAAAAAGGGGCATTACTACCAAGCATACAGAAATAAAAAAGATTGAAAAGAAATACTATGAACAACTGTATTAGAATAAATTAGATAATTTAAATGAAATAGACATTTCCTAGAAAGACACAAAGTCCCAAAACAGACCAAGGAAGAAATAGGCAATCTAAATAGGCCTAAGTAAAGAGATTAAATTAATAATTAAAAAACTAGCTTTTTCCAAAGTGAATTCAGGGCCCCGTTGCTACTTGTGCTATACTTTGACATACCTTTCCTTTCTTATTTTGTAAACTTCCTGGAAAGCCGTCTTCAGTAAGTATCTCCTAGTCTCTCTATGTGTGGTTGGTAGTCATGGAAGTGACACATAAAGTAAGCCAGAAGTTCGGTGGAACGTGTGAGAAACTGTTTTGTGCTTTTATGGATGTCATACTTGACAATACATGTATAAGTTACATGAATTGATGCTAAATATATCTTCCATTTGAATTCCTTTTGGACAAAGTTATTTCTTGATGTGGAAAAAAAAAAAAAAAAAAAAAACCAGCCTGGCCAACATGGTGAAACCCCGTCTCTACTAAAAATACAAAAATTAGCCAGGTGTGGTGGCAGGTGCCTGTAATCCCAGCTACCTGGGATGCTGAGGCAGGAAAATCACGCGGACCTGAGAGGTGGAGTTTGCAGTTAGCCGAGATTGTGCCACTGCACTCCAGCCTGGGTGACAGAGTAAGACCCTGTCTCAAAAAAAAATTAATAATAATAGTAATAATAATACATCACCCACGAAGAAAAGCCTAGGACCAGGTGACTTCACTGATGAATTCTGCCAAATGTTGAAAGAAGCATTAATAACAATTCTTTACATACTGTTCCAAAAAATAGAAGAACAGGAACACTCCCCAACTCATTCTATGAAACATATTACCCTGATACCAAAACCAGAGAAAGATATCACAAGAAAAAAAACCAAAACTACACGCCAGTATTTGTTAGGAATATGAATTCAAAATCCCTCAGCAAAATGCTAGCAAACTGAATCTAGTCACATATAACAAAAACTTAGGCCCGATACAGTGGCTAATGCCTGTAATCCCTCCTAAAAAACAATAACAAAAAAGAAAAATATTAAACATTAAGACCAAGTGGGATTTATCCCAAATTTGGCAATGGATTATTAGACATGACATCAAAAGCACAAGCAGCAACAACAACAAAAAATAGATAAACTAGACTTCATCAAAATTAAAAACGTTTGTGCTTCAAGGGACATCATCAAGAAAATAAAAGGACACCTCACCGAATAGAAGAAAAATATTTGTAATGTACATACCTGACAGTGGACTAGAATCCAGAATACATAAAGAACTCTTAGAGCTCAATAACAAAAAGGCAAATAACCCAATTTAAAAATGGGCAAAAGATTCAGAGAGGTGTTTCTTCAAAGCAGGTATACAAATGGCCAATAAATATATGAAAGATAACTGACATCATTATTCATCAGGGACATGCAAATCAAAACCACAATGAGATACCATTTCATAACCACTAGGATGACTGTAATCAAACAGTCAGATAATAACAAGTGCTGACAAGAATGTGGAGAAATCAGAGCTTTCCTACACTGCTGGCAGGAATGTAAAATGGTGTAGACAATTTGGAAAACAGTTTGGTGGTTTTTCAGAAAGTTAAACATAAGTTACCATTTGACCCAGTGATTGCACTCTGAGGTGTTTACTCACTCCTAGGTATATACCTACAAGAGATGAAAACATATTCACACAAAAACTTGTACACAAATGTCTTTAGCAGCATTATTTAAAATAGCCAAAAGGTAGAAACAACCCAAATGAAATGGGAAACCACCTGAATCAACTGATGCATGGACAAACAAAATATGGTATATCCATACAACGGAATATTTTTCCAGTGCTAAAAAGGGAATGAAATACTGATACATGCTACGACATGGATGAACCTTGAAAACAGTATGCTCAGTGAGAGAAGCAGTTACAAAAGATCATATACTATATTATTCCATTTATAGGAAATGTCCAAACAGGAAAATCAATAGAGACAGAAAGTAGATTAGTTGTTGCTTAGGGATAGGAGAGATGGGGGAATGCTGGTGGTGATAGCTAAAGGGTACAGTGCTTCTTTTTGAGGTGATAAAAATGCTCTAAAATTACGGCCGGGCGCAGTGGCTCACTCCTGTAATCCCAGCATTTTGGGAGGCTGAGGTGGGAGGATCCCTTGAACTCAGGAGTTCAAGACCATCCTGGGCAACATGGCATGACCGTGTCTGTAAAAAAAAAACAATTCAAAAGTTAGCCAGGCATGGCAGCACGTGCCTGTAGTCCCAGCTACTTGGGAGGCTGAGGTGGGAGGATCCCCTGAGCCCAGGAGGCAGAGGTTGCAGTGAGCCAAGATGGTGCCACTGCACTCCAGCCTGGGTGACAGAGGGAGACCATGTCTCAAAAAATTTTTTTAAATTTAAAAATACATGCTGTGAAATTGACTGTGGTGATCACCACATATATGTGTGAGTATACTAAAAACCACTACATTATACACTTTCAGCAGGTGAATTGTATGGTATATGAATTATGCCTCAATAAAACTGTTACAAACAAGAATTAATAAAACACAATGGGCTGGGCGCGGTGGCTGACGCCTGTAATCTCAGTACTTTGGGAGTCCAAGGCAGGCGGATCATGAGGTCAGGAGATCGAGACCCTCCTGGCTAACATGGTGAAACCCTGTCTCTACTAAAAATACAAAAAAAAAAAAAAATTAGCTGGGCATGGTGGCGGGTGCCTGCAGTCCCAGCTACTCAGGAGGCTGAGGCAGGAGAATGGCATGAACTCGGGAGGCGAAGTGAGCAGAGATCGCGCAACTGCACTCCAGCCTGGGCAACAGAGCGAGACTCCGTCTCAAACACACACACACACACACACACACACACACACAAATGGCAGCTCTGTGCCAGAAAGAAAGCATGGACTTTGGAGTCCAACAGACTGTGTTAATCTGGTTCTCCAAGAAGCAGGAACAATATGCAAAAGAATTTTATTAGAGGAAACACCTATGTGAGCGATAAAATGGGGAGGCAGCTAGGAAAGGCTGGGAGAACTGCCAGACCATGATGCAAGTCTGACCCTGGCTGAAGGAGAGGAAGAGGGAAGGTTCAGGGAAGATTCAGGCAAGTATCCTAGACTACCATGCAGTCTAAGAAAGCCTTGGTGAGGCTGTCAGGGAATCCTCCAGCCAACTCCCCTGGCCATCAGAGAAGTGTGTTGTTGTTGTTGTCGTTGTTTGAGACGGAGTCTCGCTCTATTATCCAGGCTGGAGTGCAGTGGTGCAGTCACGGCTCACTGCAACCTCCGCCTCCCTGGTTCAAGCAATTCTTTTGCCTCAGCCTCCCAAGTAGCTGGGATTACAGGCACCTGCCACCATGACTGGCTAATTTTTTGTGTTTTTAGTAGAGACTGGGTTTCACCACGTTGGTCAGGCTGGTCTCAAACTCCTGACCTCATGATCCGCCCGCCTCCGAAAGTGCTGGGATTACAGGCGACCAGCCTTCTGTTTGCTATGTTGCCCAGGCTGGTCTTGAACTCCTGGGCTCAAGTGATCTTCCCATCTCAGCCTCCTGAGTAACTGGAACTAAAGAAGGGCTCAGAGGAGTTTTGTATCAACCAGAAGTGGATCTGCCTTAGAATCCCTGGCTGTGCTTGTCACTGGATGGCAGATGTTTGTGGCAAGCTTGCTATGCAGCAATGAACTTCAGGGGGCAACTGAAACCTCCAGTCAATTACACTCCCTGTAGTTGGATATCTGTGAAGCACAGTTGCATAACTGCCACACCGATTAAGGCTCAAATCCCAGTTCAACAATATACTAACTGTGTGGCCTTGCGCAAGATACCCTCCCTGAGACACAGTTGACTCATCTACAAAATGGGGATGATAGTAGTACCTGCCACATAGGGTCGATGTGAGAATAATGTATATATAAACTGCCTAACACAGAAAAGGCATACAATAAGTGTTCAAGAAGTAGTAGCTATTACTAATATTGTATTTACTACTATCCTTCTAGACTTTATGTACTTCATTAAAATAGTGGACATCATATTCTACATATAATGGGTGTTCTGTTTATTTTGCTTAACATCATATTGTATGTCTTTTTCCAAGTTACCATTTGCTCTCCATAAACATTTTGAAGGCTGTTTTGTAGTCTATGTAGTATACATACCCGAGCTTACTTAGCCCTTCTCTTAATCATTAAACCTTTCCCCAAAAAACAGTTTTTGCTACTTAAAACAATTCTGTAGTGGACATTTTTACATAAAATAATTTTTTTCTTTGTATTTGGGATTTTTCCTCAAGGTTCCAGAATAGGATTACTAGGTTAGAGAGAGTGTGGACAGGCTAGAGAGTTGTATGTATGAACACATTTTTTTTTTTTTTTTT